TTTTGGTCCATTAAGGCCTTTTTGGAGTCAAACTAAGTCTTGGTGAGAAGCTGGAGTAAAAGGCTGATGCTAAAACCTACCTAGTTGGAATAATCGTGTGAACAATCAAACTCTGAATGATCAAACCATACCTCTGAATGATCGAGCTCAGAATGATCACACCATACCTCTGAACGATCACACTGTTGGTTGGATCAATCGAACTGTTCGCAGAAGTTATAAAAAAATAGATCTAAAGCTCATTTCGAACCAATTCGGGTTGTGCTTGAAAGAGGGGATCCTAAGACCGAGTTATCACATTTTTGGGCTCTAAAAGCCTTGTATATAAGAGGGATTGAACCATTTTTGTAGAGAGATTCATATATTTACATTGTAATTTCTATATTGTTGTAGTTTCTCTCTCTAGAAAGTTAGAGATTAGGGTTAGAAGAAAAGACGGAAGTGGAGGCACATCTCAAGAACACATCTCTAGATCCACATACTCTCTATCTCTTAAGCTTCAAAGAAGAAGAATAAGAGGAGGAATAAGAAGATAGAGCCATGTTTGGAGTTTGCCCTCGAGGGTTTCATGACCACATCCATCTCCTCCATGATTGGCTAGGCTCTTCACTTAGGGCTTGGATAAGCCCTAAGTCTTGTGTAATCTAAACCCTTATATTTCTATATTTGGGGATATATATATATATATATATATATATATATATATATATATATATTGTTGTGATTAGTGGTTAGCCTTGTGATTGTTGATTTAATTCTTCCTAGTGATTCTCTATTTTAATTACATGTTGTCTTATATATGATTATTTGGGAATAGATCTCTACCCTAGATTCTCTATGTTGGTCTAATGTCTATGTGTGATTAATTAAGGATTTAGTGATGGCTAAGCATAGTTTTCATTGAATGGATTTGTAAACTAATTTGATGGATTATGCTTACATTTGATGGGTTGTTCTACAATTTAATTCATGTTTGTAGGTAGGTAGACAATCTTTGCTTGGTTTGATACTCCATACTTATTATTGCAAATTCCATGATTCTCTAGATCGATGTGTGCTCTCATTAGATACATTTGTTAATTAATTGATGGATTATGTCTTTGTCTTGGTAGGTTGTTCTACACTTAGTTGACTTGTTGGTTAGGTAGACAATTCACTCTTGCATTAGATAGTTCACACTTTTACATACAAATTATGTTTATGTTTATAGCCACATCTAAATTGCAACAATGTATTCCCCATTAATGGAGAGCAAGTGGTTAATTACATGAGCTTAGTGGTGATTCCAACACCCTAAGATCTCTCTTCATATCTCTTAAATCCCTATCTCTCACTAGTTTACTTTAATTGCATTTTAATTTAATTATTTTCTAGAGTAATCAACCAACCCAACCCTTCTTTGCAATCTTTTGATACGCTAGAGTCGAAGTTAAATTCCAACATATATAATCCCTGTGGATGATCCCTATTCGCTATACTTCATTAGTTGTAGTAGTGGTTTTATAAATGTAAATTTGACTTTTAAAGGCTTCCTAAACCACAATCATATTTTGACCTTGCGAGGCGACCTCTCGAATTACAAAGTTTGTTTTCTAAACACTTAGAAAGGGGCTCGTCAACAACTTCATGTCTTCTTTGTATCCATTGCTTTACTTGATGTGATCTTGAATAATGGAATATTTGGAATGATCTTTATGATCTTCATTGATGTTCTTCTTTGAATGTAAATCATCTGTAACACTCAATGTGAACATTAGTCCTTAAACACCATTAATGATTTGTTATCGTCAAAACATCTAGATTGTCTTTGGATGAACCCTTATTGTCAACATATTTAATTGAATTTCATCATTAGTTTAATCAACCAATCAACAACTTTTCAATCTCACGCTCATTAATACTAAGTTCATTCCAAGCCTAAAATCCCAGTGGACGATCCCTACTTGCTATACTCACATATAGTTGTGTAGTGGCTTTTATAAATTTAAAAGTTGGTGTTCTCAATTGCCACATTTATTCATCTATTTTGTTGTACCTCCGGGAGCACATCAGTTCCAGAGGGTGTTGATTGTTGTTTTGGGCTGCATAACCACTCTTATTCTTTGTGGATGCTTGATTATTGTTATTGTTCATACTTTTTATTGTATTTAGTTAGCTGTGAGAGCTTGTAAGGTCCAAGCAACATTGTAATAGGGCTGCTATGTGTGTACTGCTATATATATGCTGTGATAAGGTCTTTTAGGGTTAATGTATTGTGAGAAAAAGTTGCATTGAGAGCTGCAGCTGTCAAACCTCGAGCATTCAATGTTAATAAAGTTTTTCCTGACTATTTGATGATGTTCCATGCATGAAAAACCTGATGAATCAACTTTTGTGAATGTGCTTAGTGCTGAGATGAGGCTGCTGTCAAAATTACTGATGCAACGGCTGGATTGAGTAGTGATTTTATGTTCCAAGTTGCTTTGGTCATTTTTAAGGGCTGTCATAGGTATAATCAAGTTATTTACTCTTGCTCAGTGCTTTGTTTTGGTCAAAATCTTGCTGGAACTAATTTTGAATCTCTAGACCATCATTCAAGCCTAATTTTTATTTCTATCTAAGATTTAAGTACAAAATGATTAAGACTAGCTATTTAATGGATTATTTTCTTGCTAACAAGTTTTGTTTGGTGAATTAAAGCTATTAAAATTGGTTACAGAACATTATATTGGTAGCTGAGTTATTGACCTTGCTGAAACCTTAAATCAGTGCTGTTGTGTGGTTATGTAAGCACTGTAATTGAAATTTTGTGAACACTCATGCTATACTTGATTATACAAAGTTATGAACTTGAGTACTACAGTAAATGAGGACTGAATGAGATGCCAGTGAATTGATCTCAAGAGGAATTTCCCATTTTACCCCTCAAACCCTAAGTACAGCAAATTGATGTTTTGAGGCAGGAAATTGAAATTCTGTGTTGTCCAGCTTATTATTTATTGTTGTGAATACCTTCTTGTGATTATCTACATCTATAATGGTGTGTGTGGTGAGCTAGGAGAGCTTATTTGGTCCAAACATGGTTGCTTAGGACAGGGGGAGTGCTTATATGCACTATGGTGTGCTAGTCTATGTATTGGTTATGAAAACTAGTGTCTCTTCTTGTACTTGGGTGTGTATAGAGAGTGAGACAGCTGAGTGTGTAATAAGATACATACGTCTAGTTGTGGACTTTATATTGGCTGAGGCCAAGACCAAGGGTTTCCCTAGTTTAGAGGGTTTTCTTGTAATTCCTGTTGCACTAATCTTTAATTACTATTTGATTTTTTGTTAGGACTTAAACATTGCAAAGGTTTTAACCAATTCACCCCCCTCTTGGTTCAACAATTGGTATCAGAGCCTTGGCCTACATTATAAGGTTCTAATAAGCCTGCAGTTGATCTTAACTATGGATGAAGGTTTAGTTATCAATAAAGTTCCAGGGTTTAAAGGTTCAAACAATGATTCTTGGAAGACCAGAATGGAAGTTTTCCTAATGTCTCAATCTTATAATGTTTGGTATGCCACTCTATATGGTGTTGTTATTCTCAATCCTGAAAATCCCTCTGCTGAAGACAAGCTAGTTATAGCTAATGATGGAAGGGCAAAACATGTTTTATTTTGTGCTTTGAAGCAACAAGAGTTTACCAAAGTTAAAAATTGCAAGACAGCCAAGGAAATGTGGGATTCTCTTCAAACAGCTCATGAAGGAAACAACGTGATCAAAGACAACAAAATTTAACTATTCAGGGTCCAATATGAAATCTGTAAAATGGAAGAAAAGGAAACTATGGTTAAGTACTTGTTCAGGATTAATGATCTTGTCAACAATATGAAATCTCTTAGTGAAGATATTAAAGACTCTGAAGTTTGCAAGAAGATTCTCAGATCCCTCACCTCTAGATTTAATGCTAAGGTTACTATTCTAGAAGACAAGGATTTAACTAACATGAAGATTGATGACCTTCAAGCTTCATTTACAGCTTATGAGATGAGGATTGGTCCTCCAATCTCACATAGAAGAGAATCTACACTCAAAGCTAAGGAGGTTGTTGAGAAGGTTGATGCAAAATCTGAAGATGATCTTGAAGATGATTAAGTGGCTTATCTTGCTAAGAAATCAGAAAGTTCAGATTAAAAAAGAAATCTTAGCTGCATAATCTAACATGTTATGGTTGTGGTAAACCTGGACATGTGGTATCTAACTGTCCTAATTCAAAGGGGCAACATCAAAGGAAGTATGAAGGACAGAATAACAAAGGAAGGTTTGGAAAGAAGGCTCTGATAACTAACTGGGTGGTGGGTCACTATGTCTACAAATTATAATCAACCCCTGTAATAGCACAAATCATTATAAAATAGGGCTATCATAGGGGTAAGTCAAACCACAAGGACTGCAAGTTTATGGCAACCAAGGTCTTTAAAATCACTTTATTTGATGAAAGAGGTGTAGAGTTTGGTTTTGCTTGTCACTTAGAAACTAGAATTGAAAATTGCATAAAACAATAAATTTAAGGAATTTAAGGGGAAAAAAACTTAGGTAGAGAGGACTAAGGAAGTGAATCAACTACCAACCCTATAAACATGCTATCTTGTGATTAATTTGGGAAACAACTTAGATATATGGCAATGATATCTAGCAATACAAGATTATTGCATTATCTTCAAGAAGTTCATAGCATCAAGAATTAAGTATAATCCCTCAAAGTTCCACATGTTTGAACTATCTAAATTAGAGTGTAGCTATGACATGCTCACTAAGCTAGGGACTATCAAACCCCTCAATAACTATGGTAATAACACATAGAGTCAAGAATCAAGAGTAATCCATCAAAAGAAGTCCCTAAGCTATGGACAAGTCTTATACAACATGCCAATAAAAACCATTTCACAATCTCATTTCCATTCTCACTATGGAAATACAAGCCATACAATCATAAGAAAATATAACCTAAGATAAGATAATAGATTCAACATAATCATTTATAGAGATTAAACTCCATTCAATCAAGTTTAGTGCTCTAGATTATGAAACTACCATATACATACTTCATTCCCCAAATTAAACAAAACTAAAGCATGCTTACAAAGAAGGGCTTCATCACCTCCCTAGAAAGGGAGTTAGTTACCCATAGAAGCAAGGGAGGAAGAGGTTGAGAGGATCAGCCCCTCCATTTTCACCCTAGAAGCAAGCTCCAACCCAAGCTCTCAATAATATAATATTTCTCTCTCTAGAAAAACTTATAATGTTGGATATCTCTTCACAACCATTCAAACCCTTTTTATGAGCCAAAAATCCTCCCAAAATCAATTAATCTCGTGGTTAGAAATCCCTAGAATAGTGCAGAGCCATTCATTTAGTCAAGGGGACAACATTGAGCAAAACAATGGAATTGGTGACCTACTGTCTGTAGCTTGGAGGGCGCCTGCGAGGTGTTAAGGGGACTTCCATGCACTGGCAAAGGGCATCCATGGCTCTCATGATAGCAAATGGCGGGGGCCCATAATGCATGGACGGGCCACACCAAATTTGAAACCTACTGGACAAATTGGCGGGCACTTGCAGTGCATGGCGAGGCCCCGCAATGCTCCTGGGCTCAAATCTCCTTCTTGAAATGACTTTGTCCTGGCCCGATAATGCTAGTTTCCTTCTTGGCATGATGCAGAGAATGCCATGAGTTCAATGGCACGAATTAGCTTTGCAAACTGGAGATCCCCGGCCCGGCATGCTTTGATCTTCAAGAACTCATCAAAACATCATTCTTATTCCTTTTTGGGAAACAAACCAAAAAATAAACAAAGACATGCAAATAAAGATAACCTAAACAATAGAACCAACTAATAGACTTAACTAATGCAAATAAGAGTGCTTGAATATACAATATTTGGCACTTATCATATCCCCAAACTTACATTTTGCTAGTCCCATAGCAAAACCAAAATAAATACTTAATGAATTGACAACAATTGGAATGCTACCCAAAAGTATCAATCATGGTGCACGAAGATGCACAAGGCTCATTTGCAACTTAGAACAGAGAACATTGGAGATGGAATCATTACGAAGACTACCTTGTGTATAAGAAGCCTTGATATAACAAAATGGCCAAACATATTTCAATTCTCATGAATCAACATCATAGTCCATATAAATACTTCAATTTTCATATCTATAAAAGAAATCATCTCTAGCTTCATTTAAAGTGAACCGGATTCCCAATATGTGGCTTTTACCCTTTTTTCCCATTTCAAGTACACAAGTCTTCAAATCATTGAATTTCCCTTTTAAATGAGGCCTCTAAGTCATGAATTTATTCAAAATACAACTTTTGTTGTTGTTATTTATTATTATTTTTTTTTTATGGCCGTGCAATGTCAAAGTCCCTTAAGCTTTCTAACTAACCCATGTAGCAAGTGTTAGGCCAGCAACTCCCAAACCGGATGGCTTTAGGGTGCTAAGTGTAAGGACACTCCAAAGGCTTAATAACTCAAATTAGCAAGGCTACGAACTCAAACTAACCATATTTATTTATTTATTTTTAATTTTTTGTGAATGACCATGCAATGTCTATGTCCCTTAAGCTTTCTAACTAACCCATGTAGCAAGTGTTAGGCCAACAACTCCCAAATTGGATGGCTTTAGGGTGCTAAGTGTAAGGACAATCCAAAGGCTTAATAACTCGAGTTAGCAAGGCTACGAACTTCAGCTAGTCAATTTTTTTTTTTAATAAGTTTCATGCCAAAGGTATCCATTCATTAGGGTCATCAATTCAAATCAACTAAGTCATGGTCAAGGTAAATTAAGTTGCATGCCTCACAATTAAGTTTCTGGTGTGCATCTGTAAAAGTGTGAAGCATAGAAGAGAATAAAATCTGACGAAAATCTAATTGAAGCATTTATACAAACTAATTTGAATCAATATGATCATTTTAGATTTTTCTTTATTTCAAAACTATCATTTGCCTCTATACACAAAGTATTAAATACATGGTTCAGTCTCTAACAAGTTCCAAGATTACAAGATCCTTACTTCCCAAAAATTATTTTATCAATTTACATGAACAATTTTTGCACATGCAAACAAAAATGCATACCAAAATCAAAGATTCATACCAAAATGATACCCCCAAACTTGAATGTCACATTGCCCTCAATGTGAGAAGACAAAGAATGAAAAATGAAAAATAGAGAGGGTAAAAAGAGCAATAATACCGAGTAGGAAGAAAATTTGTGGCGTTGTAACAATATGCCACCATGTGAATTCCAAAAGCCACGCCCCCAAACTTGAATCTAAAAACCTGTCAACAATACAAATATATACAATAAATAGGATACAGAACATAAAAAGAGATAAAAAATAACCAACTGCAATTATATTTAACCAAAAACCGAGTATCCATGCAATATAGCAAAAAAAATTGCAATTATAAGTTCAAAATAAGAACTGAAAGGAATGCCAAATGCATCCCAAAGTAAAGTAAAAGAGTACTACTGAAAATGAAAATGGGAACTGAAAGTAGAATCATCGGAGTAGAGGATAAGCCACCGGCGCCGCCTGGGGCTTGGTCAATCAAACATTGTAGCATGGCCTACAAGACTTGCTGCCCCTCCTCAGTCTCTTTACGAAAATCCGTAAGGGTGCCCTCCATGGTCTCAACTCGTAGCTACAGTGTGTCAAGACAGGTGCTGAGAGAATCATAATCGGCACGGGACATAACAGGTGGAGGCGGCGCAACCGGTGCAGGAGCAGCCTGTGCAGGAGCAATAGGGACATCAGCACCCCCCCCCCCAATCTAGCACACCACCAATGCGTGCTTACCGAGATGTTTTAAACTGGACGGTGTTTGACTTCCATGCACCGAGATCATAAAAATATACCTCAGTATTCTACTCCTCATTTCGGGGTGCCTTGAACTTTTTGTTCTTGAGCAGCTTGGTAACCAAGTATGGGAAAGGAAGCACCCAAGTCAGTGCATTATCCGACAGCGCAATGAATTAATCATTGTAGACCTTGAGAAGTTAGTCCCAAATAAGCTGCGGAACACAAAACCATTACCCCTTCTCAGCTGCATAAAGGGTGTTCAGAAAAACGCCCTTACGTTCAGAGTGCTTGGGGACTAGGAGAACATTTTTGGCGAGGACAGAGTCCAAGAACCACAGCCGGCATGGAAGATAGGACTTGTTTGTGCTTGTTTTATGACTGCCGGTATAATTGTTGTGGCATATCTCATGGACAATTTCTGACAAGGTCACATCCTCAGGGAAAGCACCGTAGAGAGGTTGGAGGTCCTCATCCAAAGGAGATGCCAACGGACACTCCAAGGCCGTGGCAAGGTCATCAATGGTGAATGCAAAAGGCTCGCCATCAATGGTTGTCCTAATCACTTCTGGCTCTATGCATGAATAAAACATGTTAGAGTAGAATCGGCAGACTAAATGCAGATAGAATGCCGAGGTGCATGGCTTGAATAGAGCTTTTAGGCTATGGTCCTTTAACTCTTTGACCGACCAAGCCGTCTCTGGATTTTCCTTAAACTCGTCTTTAATGACAAATTTGGCTTCGATTTCAATTGGCCACTCAGCCCAATTTGGAGTGGGAGTGTCCTCGGATGGTCATTCAGAGGAGCGAGCATGCTTGGAGGAAGTTTTGGGAGCCATTTGGAAGAGGGAGTTGGCTTAGGCAATTTGTCGAACACCTGGTGTGCAAGACAAAAAGGAAAAGAGCCAAGGGATGATTAGAGATGAGAAAACTCAAAAATTTTGATCCTGCAATCAAGATATACTAGCCCCAAACACATACTACACCTCTACACAATCAATCCCATCCGCCATTAATCCAAAAAAAAAAAAAAAAAAATAAGAGATAGAAACTTACCCAAAGTGAAGAAACCAAAGGCCCATTCTTGGTGCGAAATAGTGGTGATTTGGATGAGAGATTGATGGAGATGGAAAATGGCTGGAGATGGAAGAAGATGAGATGGAATAGAGAAAGAATGGAAGGAGAGGAAGAAGGGTTTGGGAAGGAGACAGTGAGGGTCGGCTGTAGGATGAGAGAGAGAGTTATAGGATTTGAATGGGCCTCGGAATGGGGCATTTTAATGAAGGCCCAAAGCTTAGCGGGTGCCCGCAAGATGCCAAGGCATGGCATAGGCCAAGCCTGGCATGCAGCTGCGGCACCTAGTGGCACTCGACGGGCCCCCGCAAGAATTGGCGGGAGGCCACCAAATTGGCTAGGAATTATTTTTTCATTTTGGCCGAACAAAGGACATGCCGGGATCCAAAAAATTGTCAATTAGAAACTTAAGCTCCTATGGACCCTAGATACCTTGTATAACCCTCGGAATGGGAATCGAAGCTCATTTGCAAAAGCACTAATTTTGGGGTCCGAATTTCCCGTGATTTTTTGGATTTTTCGAAAAAATTGCTTAAAAAACCTTGAAAAATTCTGAAAATGGTATCGAGACCTTAAAATGACTAAGTAAGCCTAAAAAAACTTTTGGAATACAATTTGAGATAGTTCCAGAAAAGGGCAAATTTTGGCTATACTTAGCTATTTTCCGAAAAAAATTTTGGCTAAGGCAACTTGGAAGAGGGAAGCTTTGGAGTTAAAAGACTTGCTTCCCAAGAGTGCTAAATTTAATGTCGATAACTAGACGAACCATGATTTCGCATCAGTCCTCATAAATTGGGTCCGTTAATAGAACTTTTTCCACTTTTCGAAGCGGGACGATGCCATTAACATAAGGCTTAAGCCGTTGGCCATTAACCTTAAAGAGAGATCCATCGGTAGGATCATCAAGTTCAACGGCACCATGAGGAAAGACAGATGAGATAACATATGGACCATCCCACGGTGAACGGAGTTTACTGGGAAAGAGTCACAGCCAAGAATTGAAAAGCCAAACTTTCTGTCCGGGGGCAAGAGACTTGTTAACAATGTGCTTGTTATGAAATGTTTTAGTCTTTGCCTTATAAATTTTGCGCTTTCATATGCATCATTTCGAATTTTCTCAAGCTCATTAAGCTGCAATTTGCGAGTAGAACTGGCTTGCTTAAGATCAAAGTTGAACCATTTTATGGCCCGAAAAGCTCGATGCTCTAACTCTAACGGAAGATGACAAGCTTTACCAAAGACAAGTCGATATGGTGACATGCCAATGGGCGTCTTATACGTTGTCTGGTAGACCCAGAGCACATCGTTTAGTCTTAATGATCAATCTTTACGGTCCGGTCGAACTATTTTTTCCAGAATATGCTTGATCTCACGATTAGATACTTCCACTTGACCACTCGTTTAAGGGTGGTAAAGTGTGGCAACCTTGTGAATGACGGAGTATTTAAGAAGGACGGATTTGAGATAGCGATTTCAAAAATAAGATCCTCCGTCACTGATGAGGGCTCTTGGCGTACCAAATTGACTGAAGATGTTCGATTGAATGAACTTGACAACAACTTTATGATCGTTGGTTTTCGTAGCTTTAGCCTTAACCCATTTAGACACGTAATCCACCGCTACGAGAATATACTTATAGCCATAAGAGGATGGAAACAGTCCCATGAAGTCAATTCCCCATACATCAAAAAATTTTATGATTAAAATGGGGGTAAGGGGCATCGTGTCTCTTCTGGACATGGATCCGAGCTTTTGGCAATGCTCACACGACTTGCAGAAATTGTAAGCATCCTAAAACAAAGAGGGAAAATAAAATCCGCTTTGAAGAAATTTATCAGCAATTTTCTTGGCACTGAAGTGGCCTCCATATGCAAGAGTGTGGCAGAAATTTAGGACACTTGAAAATTTAGTTTCGGGAATGCATCGCCGGATGATTTGGTCCGGGCAATACTTAAATAATTCTAGATCTTCCCAAAAGAAATTTTTGACTCAGGAGAAGAACAGGTCCTCTTATTTGGACAATTTGGCCAGAATTTTTCCTACCGTAAGGTAGTTGACAGTATCAGCAAACCAAGGAAGATTTGTATGAAAAATCTGAAACAGTTGCTCATCTGGGAAGGAATCACAAACTGTAGAAAATTTAGAAGATTTCTCAATGAGTAAACGAGAGAGATGGTCGGCGACAACATTGTTTGTCCCTTTTTTGTCCCGAATTTCAATATCAAACTATTGGAGTAAGAGTATCCATTGAATTAGCCGGGGTTTGGTCTCTTTTTTGGTGAGCAAATGCCTAAGAGCAGCATGGTCCGAAAAGACAATGACCTTGGATCCAAGAAGATAAGAACGAAATTTATCCAAGGCATACACCGCTAGCAACTCTTTTTCAGTGGTGGTGTAATTTAATTGAGCATCAGAGAGAGTTTTGCTAGCATAATAAATAACATGTGGTAGCTTGTCCATATGCTGGCCCAAAACCACACCCAATGTAAAATCGGATGCATCGCACATGATCTCAAATGGAAGAGACCAGTTAGGCGGTTTCATGATTGGGGCTGAAGAGAGAAGAGTACGAAGCTTCTAAACATGCTTCATCAAAATTGAAGGGAATATCCTTGGCAAGAAGATTACACAAGGGCCAAGCTATTTTGCTAAAATCTTTGATGAAACGGCAATAAAAGCCTGCATGACCAACAAAGGAATGGATTTGTCGGACAGAATTTGGAGGCAGAAGGTTAGAGATCAATTTGACTTTTTCCTTGTCAACCTCAATTCCCCTTTTTGAAATAACGTGCCCCAAGACAATGCCTTCTTGGACCATGAAATGACTTTTTTCCCAACTTAGAATCAGATTTGCCTTCTTGCATCTTTGAAGCACAAGGGATAGATTGTGGAGATATGAGTCAAAGGAAGATCCAAAGACGGAAAAATCATCCATGAATACTTCCAAAAACTTCTTAACCATATCAGAAAATATGGACATCCTGCATCTTTGGAAAGTTATCGGTGCATTGCATAACCCAAAGGGCATGCGTCTATAGGCAAAGGTTCCAAAGGGACATGTGAATGTGGTCTTCTTCTGATCTTGAGGATCAATTGCCACTTGGTTTATAGCCGGAATAACCATCAAAGAAATAGTAGTAGCTTTGGCCAGCAAGCCTTTCTAGGATTTGATCAATGAATAGAAGTGGGAAATGATCCTTCCTAGTGGTAGAATTGAGTTTCCGGTAGTCATGCACACACACCACCCAGTGGTGATGCGTTATGGCACAAGCTCTCCCGCTGAATTTTCAACAACAATGAGGCCGGATTTCTTGGGAACAACTTGAGTAGGGCTTACCCACTTTCTATCCGAGATGGGGTAAATGATTCCCGCATCTAGTAGCTTGATCACTTCTTTCATAACCA